CATCAGTAACAGCACCAGAAAATAATGTGCACAGCTGTCGAACGTATGACAGTGGTTCCTCAGATACCGCAATATCTTTGATGGCAGCGCGCTGCAGTGCACTCCGTCTTCGCAGGTAGAGATCCATAGCATAAGTCCCTAAATATGGATACTAAGCGTGCAGAAATTGTTGGATTGGACGCAGATAACCTCGTCCCAGTTGAGTAAGAAGTGTTCGAGCCTTCTTCATTGCACGTGGTCCCCCGTGAACCGCTCCAGGACGGCGAACATCATCGCTCAAGAGTTGCACTATCTGACATTTTTACATTGGAATATTTGATGATAAGGTGATTTGAAGCAGTGAAACGTCAAGAAAAAACATTTAGCTATACTTCAAAACTATCTAGTCGGTTAAGAATTTGCTAATTCTGAATAAACCGACTATTTCATTTTCTCAGACCCAAAAAACAAAATTTTGGATTTCGCTAGAATTTCGCGTGGGTGGGAGAGTGGAGGATGTTACTACATACTGACAATATATCCACTCACGGTAGCGCCTTATAATGGAGATATGGGAAGTGCATAGTACCGCATCAAAATCATAAATAATCCCGAAAACTACCCAGTAGGGTTACTTGACACGTTGATCACCACTACGATGTATTTGTATGCTAGCGCGTGTTTGTGGAGATACGAATGGTAGGGCTGAGATCACAAATCTCCTATAAGACGCTAGAATGTGGAATGAAAAAGGAAAAATCCATAAACAGACACCAAATGATACTACTAGAGCACTTTTCAAGCAAATCCATGAATCCAACCCTTACCATATAGCTACCATATCTCAAGCAAATAAGACACTGTACATGGTTACGGACGGGTACGTGATCAACAAGCCCGGGCGAAGTTAAGGCAAAATTCCAAATCTTGCTTGCTCAGAGGGGGACTGACCTGATTTTCACGAATTTTCATTTGTGTATCGATATTAGAGTCCTTTGTTGAACACTGCTTCCATTCATGAACAAGCTCGACAGCTTGATCAAGGTCTCTGAGATTGAACGAATTGAAATGCAATGCGAAGAAAAAAATGATAATCCTAGAATATCTTCAATAATTATACCTATGGGCAATGCAATCATCCAGCTCTGCAGGGAGCTCCTGCAACCATGCCATCTCATCTTGATCTGAATGAAGGTTACATTGCAATAATAAATTCTAGCACTCGTCTAAATGACAGGACGACTCACTAACTTCCTCCTCATCGTTTTCCTGAACTGTTTTTGAGGTAGTTGGCGACAACTGAGAACGTTGGGCTCTTTCCTGAGACATTATTCAAATCCCAGCAAGTGATGAATAAGAGTATTTATTACTTGGACTGTCATCCTCTTCCCGCGTATAGTACTTTGTCGGGCAAGAATCCCCTCATGCAAAATTTCTCGTTTGGCGCTTTCCAGCTCATCGAGCCACATTTTCTTGACTCGAGCACTATCGCAACGATAGTACCTAAAG